AACTCTGTAGTTTAATTCCTGAGTTTAGATTGAGTTCACAACTTTATACTTCACTTTTACAGTTTATGACATTATTTAAACATTACAACATTGTAACTCACTTTCAGTTGTCTTTTATTCTAGATATAAAATCTACAGGGCACTGAACACAGGATAGCCCAGGGGAAGGGAACTTACAATGTGTGTAAGCTCAACTATATCCAGTATCCTTTATTTTTATTGTTGAACAAACAACAACAAAATTACATTTGTATAGTGCCTTTCACGTCGGGAGGACGTCCCAAGGTGCTGGACGGTCAGAGTTTTGGATCCAAGCTGGGGGGTCAGGATCGGGGAGGGTGGAGGGCAGGTGGGGAAACAGGGTGATTGAAAGCACGGTCAAAGAGGAGGGTCTTGAGATGGGTCTTGAAGGAGGCAAGGGTGGGGACAAGGTGGAGGGACTGTGGGATGGATTTCCAGAGGGTGGGGGCAGAGTGGCAGAAGGTCCGCCCGCCAATAGTGGGGTGAGCGAGGCGGAGGACGTGAAGCAGGCCAGAGCCCGCTGAGCGGAGGGAACGAACAGGATAATAGGGGATTAGGAGATTGCAGAGGTAGGCGGGAGAAAGACCATGGAGGGCTTTGAAGGTGAGGACCAGGATCTTGAACTGTATCCTCTGTGTGATGGGAAGCCAATGGAGTCAGACGTGGATGGGGGTATCAGGGTCACGGAGCCTGGTGCGGGAGAGGACAGGGGCTGCAGAGTTCTGGATGATCTGCAGCCTATGGATGGAGGAGTTGCGGAGACTGACAAGCAAGGAATTTGCATAGTCAAGTCTCGATGTAATGAAAGCGTGTATGAGGGTTTCAGCGGCCTGTGGTGTGAGACAGTGGCGGAGTCGGGCGATGTTGTGGAGGTGGGGATGGCAGAGTGTGTCATGGCACAGATGTGGGGTAGAAAGGATAGTTGGGGGTTAAACATGACCCCAGGTTCCGGAGTGGCTTAATAAGGTGGAATGTGCAATCAGAAGGGCCTCAGTCTTATTGACGTTCAGTTGGAGAAAATTAGCTCTCATCCAGGACCTGATGTTTGACAGACTTTCTGTCAGTAGAGCGGTGGTCCTGGAGTCAAGGGTGAAAGCAGAGAGGTAGAGTTGGGTGTCATCTGCATACATGTGAAAGTTGATCCCATATATATGGATGACGGTATATAGATATTGAAGAGGAGGAGACCAAGGACAGAGCCCTGAGGAACGCTGCACGAGATGGTGCAGTGTCTAGAGGAGAAACCATTTGTGGAGATGAAGTGGAGGCGGTGTGAAAGATACGATCTGAACCAGTCAAGGACAGAGCCATGAAGGTTGAGGTGAGAGGAGAGGCAGTGGATGAGAACAGAGTGGTCAATGGGTATCCCCTACCAACTTGCCTGCTCCCTCCGCTCAGCGGGCTCCAGCTTGCTTCAAGTCCCCCACCTCGCCCTCCTCACGATTGGCGGGCTGGCTTTCAGCCACTCTGCCCCCACCCTCTGGAACGCCATCCCGCAGTTCCTTTGCCTTGCCCCCTCCCTTGCCTCCTTCGAGACCCGGCTCAAGACTGTCCTCTTCGACCATGCCTTTGGTTACCCTCCTCCCCCATACCCTCCACCCTCCCCGATCCCGACCTCCAGCTCAGGTCCGAAACACTATTTATCCAGCACCTTGGGATGTCTTCCCGATGTGAAAGGCGCAATACAAATGTACTTTTGTTGTTGTTGTAGCTCAGTGGTTAGCACTCACAAGTGAGAGACCTGGGTTCAATTCCTGGCAGGAAACCTTGGGCAAATTTCCTTACTTCACACACTTTATAGTAATCCCTCAAGAAAAAGAAGAAAAAAGTAATAAATAAATAATAATATTATTTGGTCACTCATTCCACGACTGTTTGTGGGACACTGCTGTGTGCAATTGGCTCCTGTGTTTCGCCCACAAAATATATAGTCAATTCACTTCACAGTCTATTCTGTGAAGCACTTTGAGACGTCTGGAAGACGTGAATAGAGCTATATCAAATGCAAGGATTATTATTATATTGTTGTTGTTGAAGGTCAAGGCAAGAATCATGAGGTTCAACTGTTGAAGTGCTGGAATCACTATCCATTTATATTGTGTGTTTCGCATTGGTAGGACGTCCCAAATCTCTCTTTAGGGCCGATTGGAAAGTAGCAGTCTTAATGCTGAGTTGGTAACTGCAATGTGTGCCTGAGATGTACAGATTTTGTGTTAGCTAATCTCAGCTAAGTCAGCAGTTGAGGCTGTACAATTGAGCTCAATCACCCTCAACTTGCGAAGGGGGAAAAAATAACCTGGGCTTCTGTTCCCTGTCACAACCCATTGATCTCTACCTTTGTAAGTGAAAGTTGGGTGAGCACAGGATTAGGATTGGCTGTGATGTGAGATATTGCAGGGCAACTAGAAGCCAGATGATTAAAAGTATAACAGAAGTCAGGGAGAACTGGTTATCCTGTCCATCTTTAGGTTTTGAGAGAATATAGGGAGTTTTAAAAGGGGAAAAAAAAATTGAAACAGAATTAAGGAAGATATATTTTACGATGTGTTTAAGTTGCATTTGGTTTGGAGAGTAGTAACCTGCTGTTTACTATATTTGCACAAAATATAGTATGTCTTTGTATTGAAGCACATTTTGAATCAGCTGCCATGATTCTGTTGGCCAAGACATCGCCGCCTGCAGTTTTCAAGTAGTACTGCAGTCTGGTTGCCTTTTCACAAGCACATTTGGATGCAATTACTAGATAATGACAAGAAAGCCTGTTCAAGAGTTTGCCTTATTTTAAAAGGCCACAATCTAAGGCAGGATGCAAAATCTCCAAAATGTTTAATTACTTTAATTAATGGTTTCTTCAATGGGGTAGTAGATAAAATAAATCAACCTAGTATGACATTTATCCATATCGACCAAATAAATTTGATTCTCAGCCTGTGCTAACTGAGTTAGCTGATTGTAACTGAGTTTGCCGACTGTACCTGGGGATGTACTTGAGGCCTTAGCGTCTCTAGCCTGGGGAGTGGAAAACTAGTCAAGAGCTCCTGTTCCTGACCACCATCCATTGACCCCTGCTGGAAAATGTACTTGTGTGCATGTCAGTTGAGGTCAGCATTGCACTTGCCTCTGATGCCCTTAGTGGTCAAATAGCTTGTCAACACTCAGCGTCCAGGCTCAAGGGAAAGAATCACCACTTGGTGATATACTGGAAGGCACATGATGCCTGTAGTATTGCATGAGCAAGAGCCATCAGTCAGAAAAGGGGAGAAAATTGTCAATTTAACAGCTGCATACCATTGAGCCATATGGCTGAATAGAAGTATGGGGAATTACTTTTCACAAATAAACCCCATCATCCAATCAAACGCCAAATGTCAATTCTCAGAAACTTATATCCTGCAATGTAATAATAAAAATCCTTGCTTTTGTCATAGTGCTTTATCACGTCTTTGAGACGTCTCAAAGCGCTTCACAGAATATACTATAAAGTGTATTGACTGTGTATTTTCTGGGCAAAATGCGGAAGCCAATTGCGCACAGACCACCTGCTTTAACATATATTTTCATGCTGAAACACCAGCTAAAAGAGAAATAAAAAAAATAATATGAGAATGGCTGTTAAGAAGCTCTATTTTATATTTTCTTATATTGACTGTACACTTTGTGGGTGAAACGCAGCAGCCAATTGCACACAGCAGTGACCCACAAACAGTCGTGGATGTAGCTTTTCTGACAATTTTGTGGTTTACATTTGACCAGCTACTATATATTCTGTTCACTTTTACTTGCATTTTCTTTATCTTAACCATTTCACAAACGCGTAGCCCTTTACACTTGACTTGTTCCATTGTCATTGTATCATGCTAGCACTCAGTATTTCACTATTTAAACTATTTCAGAGTAGCTGAACATAAGCATGTTCGCCCTGCCCCTTAATGTGTGAAACATAACTGCAGTTTTGCTTTATATTAATTTAAAGCATAAGCATGTAAATTCCATTGATGGTTAAGTGTTTTAGTGAGGCTTCTGTGAAGGATTTGATTATCAAGCCATAAATTTGCATTGCAGAAAACTTTATAACATTGTAATTGTCATCCCTTGGGAATAAAGGTATACATTCGACCCATTTTTCTCTCGAGTCGCAGACTCATGCAGGCACAGGGTATCCCCTGCTAATTCACCCAAATAGTAATGTTTCCTGTCTAAATTCCCCAGTGACAAATATTTCAGACCAGGATGTTATTTGCCTTGCCCTGTTGCACAATGTGTGATGCATAACCACAATTTTGCTTTATATCAATTTAACTCCAACTCTTCACACTTGACTTGTTCCATTCTTGTCCTACATGTATATGCCCAGCTATTCCAAAGTTCAGCAAGCAAAACTTGCTCTACTCCCAATGCCATGTTTGACAGATTCAACAGATCAGTCACCACTGGTCACTCTCCATTAAGCCTCATTACCCTCCCATACTTTCTCTTCAAAGCCAAAGGAAGGCAGCTTCAACTCACGTAGGGTTTGCTAAGCAGACAGGATCATACCTTCCTTTGCTGAATGAAACTGCTCAATCCAAAAAGAAAACTCAAAAGGCAGGTGCAACCCCTCCCATTTTTAAACAATTTTCATCCATATATTCACTGCAATTTCTTGAATGTTGAAGCAATAAGGTTTCAAACTTAAGTGTCTGATTGTAATGAGCATGATTGCAGTATTGTGATGAGAATAACTAGCAGTATTAGCACAAAAGGGCATTTCAGAAGGAAATCCTTTTATAAAGTAAGACTTTCCTCTTCGAACGTGCCTTCAGTCACCTCTCCTATTTTCAACTAAGCATCAAACCACACCACTGTTATATAAATACTAGTTGTTGTTGTATTTCCCTCCAGGAGTGGGAAAGAGAAGAAAAAGTTTATACCTAGACTGGACATGCAAACCTGTCATGCAGGGACCATTATTTATTCATGAAAGACACACACAATTGTGGTTTATATACAAAACATGAACTTTAATTGAAATGCTTGTATAAAAAAATATGTTCTCCATCCATCATTTATTTTGCACGGCTAATTTGGAAAAAAAAACTCCCCAAATCCAACTGCATAAATGCAACTAGATCAGGTGCACGAAACACAGCTATTGAAATAAACTTTTAAAAAAAGGTTGTGACTGACACTTGTTAACTTTCCTAAACCAATGATGGAGACTATACAACTTCAATAATTTAAAACCTTTCAAAAAAAACAAAAAAAAACAGCTTTACTTTACACTTCTAATACAAACAGCCATGGAGGACCTTGATTTGAACATCACCAAAGTCAGAGAAATGGAGGGGGAGATGGGGGAGGGAGGGGGAATAAAACCCATTCCATTGCCCTTTAAATAAAAAGGAAGCTTTTATACAGATGAGCTTTCACTCGCCTTCCAACCAGCATTGACAAACCACTGAACCCTGCACACGGTTAAACAAGGGAGAGAGAGAGGGGGGGAAAAAATAGGAATGCTGAAATAATACACCATGGATTGTCATCCATGGAGGCACAACAGCAGTGGGTGAAAAAAAAATGTAAAACAAATAAATTAAACAAATAAATAGCCACATGTGAAAACTGTGGACAGTCTAACTTTAGAACACAAATAAATAAAAACAAGGTTATAATACATAATGCAACCAAATTTACATTTCATACAATTTACAGTCTTGAAAGTGTCTTTGATTTGCATTGATTGTGCATACAACCATGCCCCGACATGCCTTGGCCACGTACAAACAAGACTCGCAGGTTGATGGAACGGTAGTAGGGGGGGAGAGGGCTTGAAAAGGGGGCTTCTGCCTAGTGGTTGCGATGACTGAAGAAAAAATAATCTTTTTATTAAAAAAAATGATAAACCAACATTGCTGGCAGACAAAAGTTCTTGACATCCCTGTACGCACCCTTTGCTGTGCAGGCTGAAGGATTCTAAGCAGCAGAAGATAGAAAGGGGAACAAAAGTATGTTCAAGTATTCCATCACCAGTGAATTGAAGCAGCTTTCAAAAGGCACTCAGAAAGCAAAGAACATCTAGTCCAGGCTCTATGAGAGCAGAGGTTTCATTGTTTGAAGGTCACGTTTTTTTTTCTGTGTTTAAAAAATAAAGGTCAGTCATTGCTAAGTACTGGTCTGCTTCTCTCAAACTGCAATGTTCCCCAAAGAAAACAAAATTTAGTTCAGAGCAGTAACCAGCAGTGAAAGCCAGATTTCCCCCTCCCACCCACCACCTGAAGAGGATTGCATGTCAACTGTTGTCAACTTTCACCCTCTTCCAAAAGTCAATAGGTGGTAACACCAGAGTCCTTTAGTGTGTTGCTCCTCTCCCACTGCAAGGCATTGCTACGCTTCACAGACTCTCCTTGCTTGAGCTTGTACTCGACGCCTCGTGGCCTAGGCTCAGCAGCCGAATATCACAGTCCTCGGTTTTAACCACTTCGGCCTTTCGCATCCAAGTGTGATCAAAGATCTGCTCAAGGGTGGGTCTCTCGGAAGGCCTCAATGCAAGGCACCACTTGATCAAATGTTGACATTCTGCAAAGGTAAGATGCAAAGAAATATCAAGACACTGAAACTTCAAAAATCTTGAAACCCAGCAAGTCAAGATAATTTGACGGCCCAAAACTGCACTCACCGGAAGAAATTCGCCTCCTGAAATAGGCTTGGCCACGTAAGATTTCGTCATCCTGTTCAAAGGGAATATCCCCACACACCATGTCGTACAGCAGCACTCCCAGGGACCACACCGTTGCGGATCTCCCGTGGTATCTATGGTAACGGATCCATTCTGGAGGGCTGTACACTCTTGTGCCTGCAAGAATTGAGACGGACAAAACGATTCAGCGAAACACACACCGTGCATCTCAAGCACTTGGAAAACTACCAGGCGGCGTGTACGAAGGCGAAAGTTTCTGCAGCGAGCGGGGTCCTTGAATGCATTTTTTTTCTGATAATATATATGTGTGTGCGTGTATATATATATATATATATACATACACACACACACAAATAAATGGAAGAGTCAGTAAGAGCAGGCGCGGGGCTGGAGGGCAGCTGCTGGCGCCGCCTTTGCAGACCAATGCCCTACAGTGAGACCGTCAGGTGACTCCTTTGTTTACAAACGTAAGGAAGTCCTGACACGTGGTGGGACTCTGCAGAGCCCAGTGACAGGGGACAGGGGGCGCTCGGAGTGTGGGGGGCGACCCCACTGCCCCTCTTCTCCACCCCCCCACCCCCCCCCCCCCCAGCCAGAGACGCTCCCTCGCATCCAACACTCACTGCACAGCTCAACGCCAACTGCCAGACACGAAACGGCAATAATAATACTTACATTGACAGTCAATTTTTTAAGGGAAAGAAAGAAAAAGCAGCTCCACCCCAACCCCTCCCGCAGACCCGGGTCATTTGCATTTTTTTTTAAATACAGCCCCCAAAAACGATGTATTCTATTTAAAACAAAGCGTTTGATTCGCGAGTGCCTGAGGGTGGGGGGTGAGGGGGGAGAGAGGGAGGGAGGGAGAGGGGGGGGCGGAGCTGCGTCTCTTAGAAACCACAAGCAAAACAGCAGCCAGCGGGGGGGGGCGGGGGGGGGCTCGGGTTTCACAACAAGGTTAGGTAACAGCGCCTCGTACACCTCTCACTGTACAACAGCTCCTCTTCCGAATGGGAATGCAAAGCGTTTGCATCGATTGCAATGGGGATCGGGCAAATATCAGCAGCTTTATCTCGGGAGAGCGCGGGGGAGGGAGATAGGGAAGGGGTGGGGGTGGGGGGGGGGGAGAGAGAGAGGGAGGGATGGGGAGAGAGGGGGCAAGAGTGAGATGGGAAGGAGGGAGGGGGGGAGAAAGAGGGAATTGAGCTAAAGGCTAGAGAAATGCATCTGATCCTCTCTTGATTCCCTGTCGCAATCTGAGGATAGCTACATATCTAATGGGGGGGGGGGGGGGGGCGTACCTGCCTGACACGAAGGTGGGCTGAGATAGTCGATGCTGGATTTCTAGGCTATTCTCTCCGTTTAAACATCGCCCCCTAGAGAGACCGACAGCGATGCTGATCTGATTTCTCACCAGAGCCCGACTCAGAGGATGAGGTTCCATCTTAAACTAACAGCACGACTTCAAAATGCGTCATTCGCTGGGGATCACCTTCACTGCGCTATGGGGATCGATTTGGAAAGGCGAGGGGGGGGGGGGGGATTGCAAGAAAAAAAATGCATTTGTGTATATCTATTTATATATACACACACACACACACAGGAACAAATCCCTGATCGATGGGCAGTTTGAAACGAAGAAAATTAAGCAAATTGTCTCGGACGTTTGCATCTTACGGGTGATGCTCTTTTATGTCATAGAATTTTTTTAAAAAGCCCCCCCCCAAAAAAAAATATATTTTTTAAAAAAAAGCAAATCTGCAGCAAATCATAAAACGAGCCGCGTCTTAAAGGGTTAAAAGCAGACTGCTGCAAAAATACGCATCGCTCCGGGGAGGGAGGGAGGGAGAGAGGGAGAGAGAGAGAGGGAAGGAGGGAGGGAGGGAGGGCGAGAGAGAGGGAGGGAGAGAGAGAGAGGGAGGGAGGGAACGAGAAACAAGAGAAATAAATAAATGCAAATTGAAGTAGGAATCCGTGTAATCTTTGTAAAAAAAAACATTAAAAAAGGGCTTGAAAAATCTTACCATCGAAGTCGGTGTAGACGGTGTCCTTGAGTAGAGCCCCGGAGCCGAAGTCGATGAGTTTGAGTTCCCCGGAGCGCAGATCCACCAGTAGGTTCTCATCTTTGATGTCCCTGTGGACCACACCGCTGCTGTAGCAATGTCTGACCGCCTCCAGCACCTGCCTGAAGAAGGCTCGGGCCAACTCCTCCTCCAGAGCCCCCTTCTCCGTGATGAAGTCGAACAGGTCCTTGACCAGCTCCGGCCTCTCCATGATCAGCAGGAAACCATCGGCTCGCTCGTACCAATCCAGCATCTTGATGACCCCTCGGAAACCACTGGCTACTTTCTTCAGCAGCACAATCTCCAGAGGCACCAGACTGCCGTTCTGCGCCAACACATGGGAGAGAGAAAGCAGCCAAGCGTGAGACAAGAGAGAGGGAAGAGGGGAAAACAACTACACACATTACATCCAAAACATTGCAACGTGTGTGTGTCCCCCCCCCCCCCATAGAAACACGTAAAAAACACTGGGAATTCAAGATGTCACGGTGATCCCATCATTAAAGTGCTGCCTGTACTCCACACTGCGAACACGCCCTTATACGTTTAATATAATTGTAAAAAAGGTGAGATATTTTGAAAGAAAGTTTACTCGCAACCACTTGCAACATTTGCTCAATTCATCTGCACTGATGCACGCGATGCAAAGGCATTATTTGAGTATATCCGCAGATGTAAGTTACTGGATTGGATTTAGACGTTAAAGGTGTGTGTGTGTGTGTGTGTTAGGGGGTGGAGAGAGAGGAGAAGGTTTTGTTTTAAAGTTAAATGAATTAATTAATATTTCCCAGATCTGGAGCCCATTTGTGTTTATAAATAGACGCGCTGTTCGAGGCTGAATGTTTTGGGCTACACTCCTGCAGTAGTGTTGGGCTCAGAGAGAGTGGAAGGTAAGGCAGGTTAAAAGACACTACAGTATTTTGAAAGACTCACCCCACCCTTCCCACAACTCAAAAAAAAATGCTCAAGCCTCGCGTTTGCAAACCCAAAACAGTCAAAAAGCCACCGAACAAATCGCATTGTGAAACGTGCGGAATTATAACTAAAATAAAACACAAGGGCTTTGATCCCGCCCCCGCCCCCCGCACCCACACCCACCCACAGACAGACACTTACCAGTGAGCCCCACTCGGTCACTCGCTCTCTTGCAACATGTTTAACAGCGACCTGCAGGGAGGGAGGGAGAGAGAGAAACGCACATTTAATGAATGCCACACGCGGAAAAAAATTGCAGCAAAACACGAGAGAGAAAAAAATGAAGTTTGTGCATAAAAAGCACGAGAGGGCTTCACTGGGAAGGAGTTAAATGAGGGAGAGGGGGAGTCCCCGACTCACTTACCGGGAGCCCGTCGCTGAGCCGCACACCGCTGTACACTGTGCCGAAGCCACCACTGCCCAGGACTGCCCCGACCTGATAGGCTTTCTCAAAGGGCTCTCGTTCCTTCACTGCAAAGGAGAAGGGAAGCAACATACTTTTAATGCAAAGGGGAACACACAGACACACACGCACACACACAACATGCACACATCATTTTTTTCCCCTCCTCTTTTGCATTCATCTGATCCTGGCGGAGTGTGTTTCAAGATGTGTGCGAGTGTTACGTGGAAATATATGGATGTGTGTGTGTGTGTGTGGGGGGGGGGAAGAGAGCTATTAAATAAGCTTTCTCAAAAAAGGCTCTCTCGTTCCTTCACTGCAATGCAAAGGCAGGAGAGGGGTTGGGTTGGAGGGAAACACTTTCGTGCAAGGAGGGCGGGAGGGAGGCAGAGGAGGGGGAAGGGGATATTATTTTCCTTTTGCATTTATCTTCTTCTGATGCTCGTGAAGAAGCTTTAAGTGAGAGCGAGCGTGTGAGAGTGAGTGAGTGAGTGAGTGTGCGTGTGATATATTGGGAGGGAGAGAGAGAGAGGGGGCTGGGGGGTGGGGGGGGGAGAGAGTAAATGAAATGCCAACTCCGGTAGATTTACGCACAACACAACACACACACACACACAGACGGTGCAATCCATAATCACAAACCACAACCCGCTCTCATCCATCCACACACACACACACACACACACACCAAAACACTGGGCTGCCCTGCCCGCCCCCACACCAACAATCTTTTTTTAAAAAAAACATATATATATATATGTATATATCACAACACTAATAATATATTCGATGCAAACATCTAAAAGTACAAACCATCTATATATAAATCTATTGCTATATATATCTATCTGTTTATCTATCCCTATCTATATATAGAAACAGCATATATTTAATTAAATGCAATAATAATAATAATAATGATAAGCATGCGCCAGGCTGGCTCGTACCTTGCTGTAACTGGATTTTAACGGGCAGGTCCATGCTGGTGGGGCTGCAAATGTGAGCAAACGATCCGATCTTTTTGGAGAGTAGCATCTCAATTAGAGGGAGGGAGGGTGTGGGTGTCTGTGTGTGTGTGAGTGAGTGAGTGAGTGTGGAGGGTCAGGGGGTGGGGGCTGTTGCTGATGATAGTGAGAGGTGGTGGTGCTGAGGGGGGGGGGGGGGGGGAGATTATCCTCTCGAGCTGGTTAACAAAAAACACAGAGCAAGTCGAGAAGCAGCGAGAGATTGAAATGTGTATATGTGTGTGTGTGGGGGGGGGGGGGGGGGGGGGGAAATAAAATAATAATAATAATAATAATCCCTGCGTTCAGTTCAGTTCAGTCCAATAACTGTGTGGTTTTGCGGAGTGAGTGATGTGAGTGAGTGACACCTCTCACACTCACTCACAGAGAGAGAGAAAAGATAAATAACAATTAAAGCAAATCGAGGAATTTTCCACCTTCTGCCTCGACTTTGGTCCAAGACGCGTTTGCTTTTTTTTCCCCCTTTCTTTCTCTCTCTCTCTCTCTCTCTTTCTCTCTTTTTGTTGTTGTTGTCGTCGTCGTCGTTGGAAACGTGAGTAAAATCCCGGGTATAAATGATGATGTTCAGGAGTTAGTAGTGTTTTTTTTTGTGTCGGGGGTTAAAAAAAAATCCTTTTTTTCTCTCTCTCTCTCCTCTCTTTCTTTCCACCTTCTCCTCTTCTTTTTTTCCACCTTTCTTCTCTTCTCCTTCCTTCTCCTTTTTTTTCCACCTTCTCCTCCTCCTGTTGGGTGTTTTAAAAAATCAAAGGACTCTCGGGTTACAGCAGCTCCTTTATAGCCTCCGAACGGCTCTTACTCTCCTCTCTCTCTCTCTTCCCTCTCCTCTTCTTCCCCTCTTTCTCCCCTCTCTCTTTTTCTTCTTCTCCTCCTCCTCTCTTGCTCTCCTCTCTTTGCTCTGTCTCCTTCTGCTCGTTCCTGTTTCTAATCTAAATGAAGGACGAGCCAACTTCTTAACTCCTATATTTTGGCTGGAGAGAGAGAGAGAGAAAAAAAAGCCCAAAGAGGGAGGGAGGGAGGGAAGGAGAGAGAGGGAGGGAGGGAGGGAGGTGTGAGGGGAGAGAGAGAGAGGGAGAGAGAAGGGGGCGGATCGCTAACGCATGGAAGAGAATCAATCCGCCGCTTAATTACAAACCCCTGCGAATTGCCCGGAGGAGGAGGAGGAGGGGAGTGAGGAGGCGAGAGGGGTTGGGATGGGGGGAGCGGCACCGCTCACACACACCTTCCCCTCATATCCATGAGCCCGGGCGTTTCCCGCGCGCTCGCTCTCGCTGCGCGGCGACCAATCTCCCGGCTCGCGCGCGCACTACTTTTCGGTAGTACTAGACGGTGGCAGGGAGCCGGTGTCTAGGCGATGAGTGACACGGCCTCCCTCTCCTCCCCCACCCCCCCGCACCACGGCTCCGCCCACCCCCGCCCTCGTTTCATCTGAATGACAATCGCTCATTTGCATAGCGTGCGGTCGCCGGCCAATGGGAGACGCGATCCCTTTGCATCTCATTAGCGCCCACCCCGGGAGGAGGAGGAGAGGGGGGCGGGGCGCCTGTCAATCACCCGAGCCCCAGCTCCCGCCTGACACTTGGCGGGAAACTCATTGACCTCCTCCCTCCCACCATCAATCTCTGCATAATCTTTTATTTTAACAGCATTTGTGGATACTTTCATCCCTCCCTTCCTACACACACATACATAAATAAATAAATAAAAATTGTGGGGGTGGGGGGGGGGGGCGGTAATGACTTTTCTTTTGCATTGATCCAAGGTGCAGTTTTTTAAAAATATGTATATATATTTTTGGGTGCAAAAAAAAACAATCAAAAGGTTTTCTTTTAATTTTGAAATTTTTTTAAAAAAAAAGAGCTGTTTTTTTTTTGACCCCCCCACCCAACCCCACCCCACCCCACACCCGTTCACTCGCAAACCCATCGGGGGCAGGATCCGGCAGTTGTGCCGTGCGCTGCGCTGCGCTGGTGATGATAAGAGTCTGTACAAATGTAATTTGTTGTTGTTTAGTGCTTTCTGCACAGAGGCAATGCTACATAGAGTGCCCACCCCCCCACTCACCCCTTCCCTCCATCCCTCTCGCCCCTTTCCTTACTTAACGTCGGCCCCCTCTCGCAAGCGTTTTGCATTAACAAATGCGGAGCTTTGACAAAAAAAAAGGCTGTCCTGGATTCCCCCCCTTTCCCTCCCTCCCTCCCTCCCCCCGCTCACAGCTCCTGACCTGCTTCTGATCATCTCCACGTTAAAGCCTGGCCGCCAGAGGGTGGTGCACATAACAAAACTGCCAGAGCAGCCTCTTTCTATCCCAAATCCTGCCAAGTGCGCAGTTGTGTCAAAGATTTGCAGCAGTCATACATAAGGGAGATCGATCGATCGACTCTTCCCCCCCACCCACCCCCCCCACCCTCCTTTTCAGCCATATCACCTTCCTTTACAATTTTGGGGTGTTTTATTGTTATAATAATAATAATCCTTGCATTTGATATAGCGCCTTGTCCTGTTTTCGAAACATCTCAAAGCGCTTCACAGAAGATACGGTAAAAGTGAATTGATTGTGTTTTGTGGGCAAAGTTTTGTGTTTTTTTTAAAAGGAGAGAAATGAGTTTAAAATGCAACCTCATGTAATTCCTTTTCTTAAATAATTATGTGCATAATGTATGATCCCCCGCCCCATCCGCCCTACCATCGGTGGCCGGGACTTCAGCCTCTCAGCCCCGAGGCTCTGGAACTCTATCCCCCAGTGCTTCGCTGCTTCCTCCCTTTCCTCCTTCAAGGCCGGTCTCAAGACCTTTCTCTTTGACCGAGCCTTCAGCTCCCCTCTCGACTCTCTACCCCCTCCTCGCTCCCTCCCTTCCCTCCCCTCACCCTGACCATTTCCCCCCTGATCGGGTCCTGACCCAACTGTCCAGCACCTTGGGACGTCCTCCCGACGTGAAAGGCGCTCTATCAATGGAATCTTGTTGTTGTAAAGTAACTGAAAATGTTTATTTTCACCTTACTTGCAGTTCTTTCCAAGTGACTTAAAGGGTGGTTAGATTGTGTTGCTCTTATCCTTACCACTAAGAGAGACAACCTTGCTAGGATTAAAACAGTGAGCTCCAGGCCTGTAAACTGCAGAACTGTCCATTACATCATCAGGACTACCCCAACTGGAGGCTTATTTGTAAAGGACCTGGGAGATTTTCTGTACAGACAAAACCTTGGTTTAACGGCTCATCTGAAATACAGCACTTCTGATATTGCAGCATTCCTCCTGTACTGTATTGTACTATACTATATCCTTTTTTTTAAATAGAATGATTGACGTGTCTACAAAATTAGATTTTTATGTGATTACCTGGCAGCAGAAACCCTGAGTATGAAGCAGAGACTAACATTAGCATTTTGACGTCCTCCCGACGTGAAAGGCGCTCTATAAATGGAATGTTGTTGTTGTTGTTGTTGATAGTGGTGATAAGAACATAAGAATTTGTTAGACGAAAGAAGTCCAAGGTCCATTCAATTCGCCTTCCACCTTCCTGACAGTGGCTTGCACATGTCATGTCCCAAAACTATATACTGTATCCAACGATGTTATTTCCTAAAAGAAATCTATCTAACTTGCCTTTGAAAGAATCAACACTTTCTACTTCCACATCTCCCTAGGGAGCCTGTTCCATACATTCACTATTCGCTCACTGAAATAGTGCTTCAGCAGGTTTATTTTGAGTTTACTCCATTGATGGTCTTGCCCTGCCTAATAAGGCTTGTCTGGGTTAACAATCTGCGAATAACCCCACTAATATTTGTAGATTTAGAGCTTTCATAAAATGAATGACAATTTTATCTCAAGGGTTTTTGACCAGGACACCAGGAGAAACTGCCTTCTCATTTCAAAAAATAATTTGAGATCTTTAACATACAGAACTCAGTTTAATATCTTATTCAAAGGCTATTACCTTCAACAATGCAATACTGTCAGCCTGACTCTTGCTTCTGAGTCAGAAGGTTGTGGGTTCAAGCCCCACATCGGGCCTTGGAATCACATAGTCTAAGATGACACTCCAATGTAGTGCTGTTGGTTGCATTGTCGGAGTTGGAAGCATGAATTGCACATTTTCATTCAAATCACGGTTTTGGTGTCTAACATTGCACCTATCTAAGGTGCGCACTAAAGACCCCTTGGTCTAATGTTCTGCTTGAATCAATACAATTTGCACCTATTCAAGTTATTAAGTTTTACTCCTCCCTCCCCCCGACCACCCCAAAGAAGTTTTTTGGATGGAAATGCAAAAATATTGCTTATGCGGCCCGAGGACATTTCTCAAATCTGGCAGCCAAAAGGTTAGATCACCCTGGTCTATGCACTCAAAGTCTTAAAGTGGGGCTTGAAACCACAACTATGATCACTTCCCTCCACACTCCACATCACTCTCCCTGCTCATCATCTGTGTAAAGCGCTTTGAGATATTACTGTAAGTGATAGTTATTGTTGGCAACTGAGTTAGGCTGACACTTCTGGTTGGAAGTAGGTGAAAGGAAACTATTTTATACTTTACAAAAGTATTCCCAGCAACTACAAAAGAGAGACACCTTTCTGGCAAAATGATTTACTGTCCATTTGAATGGTGTAGAGACTATTATTAAGTTCCACCTCCACTCCCTGCCTCAGACAGAGTGCATTGAGTTCATGTCAGGATGACCCAAACCAAATGTAATGTTCTAGGGCTGTTAATGTGGACCATTCTGACTCAGCTTAATGTGCTGGTGATGTGTTAAATTGCCTGCTCAACTGAGACTTTTTATTTCAAATTGAAATTGACGACAAATGTCTGTATATTTTCTGCACTGATGCAAACCTCTATTTGTGAGGGACTGTAAGCTTTTTAACTTCAAAGCCTGATTGAAGTAAATAGTTCACCCCCACTTAGACTTTGACCAGTTTTCTGACTGTGCTAAAGTATACAGTATCAGCGCACAAATGTCTCAGTAATAGTGAGTTGGTTCATAGCCAGTTATTAAATGAGTGTTGTTCAATCAACTTCACCCCTGTATACTTTAACTATTGTTACAGGCAGCAAAATATTATCTTAGGACTGGGATGATACTAAACTTATGGATCAAGTTTGTACGGTTTGTAGATATTTGCCTC